GTGACCCATTATTTCGAACTACTTTTTTAAGCTGAACTTAATTCCATGATCCGTTTTTCATTTTCATTTTTTGATTTTTAAATATTGACATTTTTTACAAAAAAATTGCAATATTTCATAAATACAACTTGATAACAAAAAATAGATTGCGGCATTGAGTTTAGCTTAAAAAAGTAGTTAGAAATGATGGGTCACAACACTCCCTTCATATTTAAAATAATTTATCACATTTCAAAATGGCGGATCCAAGATGGCGGCCGTAAACAATACATCAGTCATAACCAAGTGAAAATAGGTCGGCAATTACTGGTAGTGTATACTTATCTTTATCTAGCACTATTTTGAGATTATGGTCTTAGTTTGTAAATGCACAATGTTAAAATGGGCTAAAAATAAAGTTTTAAAAAGCCCTCATAACTTTAGAATGAATCAAGATTTTACAGTTTGCGGCATTGTAATCAGGGTAAAAATCTAGTTCGAAATAATGGGTCACAACCCCACCTTTACATTTGGAAAACAATGTTGCATCCAATATGGCGGATCCAAGATGGCGGCCGGAAATGACCACCTTGTCAAAATGAAGTACTTACTACCCAACAATGTTTGGAAGTGGTCTGGGATTGATATTTTAAAAAATGTAGAAAAAAAGTTGGGGGGGGCACAATTAAAACTCACCCTGTAGATGAGTAAATTAACGACTTAGTATTTTTTGCCAGGTCGCATAATGAGGTTGCGGACAGCAGTTACCAAAGCTATTCAACATCGAAAAGTCGAAGAGGGAGTAATGGCCAAAAAGGCTGAAAAACTGAGGTTAGACATTCTGAACGGCCCGAGTCATGTATTCGGAGAACACCTTCACTGCAAAAGTAGAGGCTATTTTTGCAACGGGCCAAAAGAAGGTAGGCATGCATACCTTTTTACATTTGTAATTATAATAGGGTTAAGACTAATATATAAATATATTATTTTTTCAGTAGTGTCTGAATTGACATAATCGTTTTTGGTATTTCACTGTTGTAGAATAGTATGGGACAAGTGCATAACTGATTATTTCCCTCTACCAATTTGGTAAAAATATTAACATGTAAAAGAACACATTTAAAACAAAGCATTATTTTATTTGAAGGTGGTACAAAATAAAGAAACCGGTATAATGATGAGTTGACTACTAATGGTTTGATGTGTATTCACATGTCAAGTAGGCATCCAAAGTTCTAATTACTTCATCAAATTACTTCATGAAAGTAAAGTTTCCCTAACCAAGACTAGCCGGTAATAGCTTCTTTCATAGTTGTTGGAACTTATAGTACGTGTGGTATATGTGTGTGTGTGTGTGTGAAAAATGGCTCTTGAGTGTACTAAAAATATGAATAAATTTGTTACAGGTAACAAACTATATACCCGATATGAGGGCAAGTGGTGTGTACCAAAAGATCATGGTAGCAGTCAACAGCGTGGCTGACAACAGCAGTCACCTCATCTACGATGTAGATAGTAATATGGTCGAGCACTATAACTCAGTCGTGGCGCGATTTACCGGGGGAAAGCGGGTAAACTACATCCAAAAAGGATCGTATCAAATGAGATGCGCTGCCGCTGTAGTAAGCCACAACACCAGCCGACCTCTCTACAAGCTGCATAAAACTATGCTGAAAAATAGCCCTGGCATGTACCTCAAGCTATTTGAGTCAAGGCACTTGACAAAATTGTCAAAAACGTCACAAAGAGAACTGGTGAAGCCCCGAGCAAGGCGGCGTTTGAGACTTACACCTAAAGCAGGTGACGGCGACTACGGACCCATGGCAAAGAAACCAGACATGGAGGCCACCATCTATCAGACTAAGCTCGAAGATCACATGGCAGCTCTTCAGAAGACGAGGGAAGACATTCTTGAAATTGAAAAGAACACAAGAGGTGGGCATCGGTTTTTTTTACTTATTTTTAATATTTATATTTTTTGCTAAAAATTAAAAAAATCTGATATATCAAATTTAAAGGCTATGTTACCGCTACCCACTGGTTTAGAATCGGCAATACAGTACAGACAAAATATACTGTACCTACGTTTTATTGGTGTTTTCAATTATGTATCATAATAAAATAATTGGCAATCGTTCGTGTTAGTAAATGAAAAGCACTATAAAATATGGGTTTCACTAATAACCCAGACAGCACACTTTATCCCAGGGACATCCCATAGTAGTCCCCTATGTCCTGAGAATGTCTCGGGATATGTACGCTATCCTCAGGATATCCCGCAAAATCCCGGGACAAGTACGAAATCCACAGGATATCCTACAATATACCGTAATGTCCCGGGATTTGTAAGTTAACCTCAGGATATCCTGTAAAGTCCCGGGATATGTACGAATGCCATAGGATATCCCAGAATGTCCCATGACATCCCGGGACATTTACAAAATCCACTGGATATCCTGTAATGTCCCGGTAACAAACTGAAGAAAAAAAATACTACCACTGATGAAATGTACATCTAAATTTAAATGTTCAACAAGGCCAATATATAATAATTTTTTTTTTCACTAGCGCTTTCAGAAACTTGGTTTCCATCTTCAGGCTGTGTTAACACTAGTACAAAAAGTAAATATTTACTTAATAAATTAATTTTAAACAAAGTTAAAACAGATGATTTAAAGGATATTGGAAGAATAAAAAATAATAGAAAAATTAATCTTTTGAATTTTGTATACCTATATTACAGTGTTGTTCTTGATGTAATTATTTTCAGTAATTCCAAATTTATAATTGGGCCGTCTTCATTATTTAACAAATAATGTTGGTCTGTTTTTTTTTCTAAAAATAAGATTCCCACGCATTAAGATGTTGAGGTTTTATAATTTGTTTTAAAAGTTTAAGGTTTCCCAGATTGAAAATATGTCTTGTTAATACTATGGCTAGCAAGGGCTGACTTAACTTTACTGACATATTACTACCACTGAGTTCAGGAAAACTAGAGTTCTATCATAGTTGTGTGAAATGTGAATTTAATTCTAACTTTAAATTAATAAAACAATTAAAAACTAATTTTAATCATATAACAATCAATTATAACAGTGCTAATCTAATGGTAATTAAATAATCTATATTCAAATACCAGTATCCTCTCCAACTACAAGAAAAACAATTCAACTACTTGAAGCCTAAACAGATTAACGATTAACAGAATCATATCATATACTGTAGTATCAAAAATATTTTAAGTATTGCGACCATTGCAACTGTCGGCTACTCTTTCACCACTTGAAAAGACCTGTAATCATCAAGCGCAGATAGCTCAGGAGGTAAGGCAAGAGGCACACAGGGCGAAGGTACCAGGTTCGAGACCCGTCTGGGCCAAAAACTTTTTTCTAGTTTTTTTCTTCAAAATTTGTGTATATTAACTATTTAATCAGTTTACTAAACTTATAATTAAGATTTTCATACTAAATCTATATTATTTTGTGTTTTTTATGTTCAGGCCCAGACCAAACTTTATCCCAGGGACATCCCATAGTAGTCCCATATGTCCTGAGAATGTCCTTTAGGATTACCCTGGGATGACCTCGGATGTCCCACGCACGGATATGCTGTGAGCTTATCCGTAGGACATCCCCGGGCGGGGACATTACGCATTCCTGTGGATAACCTGAGATATCCCGGGTTGACCATAGGACCATTATGGGATATCTTGCATATCCTGTTGCAATATCCGTGGGATGTCCTGAGGAGAAAGTGTGCTGTCTGGGAACCAGTATAAATTGTAAATGATTTTATTCTAACTATACTAAGCCTCACACGAGCTAATCAGCCCACCCTATGGCCTGCACACGGTATATTTTTATGTATAATTTTAGGCCCACAATACTGTAAATTCACTAAAATATATTGTTTTCTCCGTAACAGTTTATTAATTATTGTTTTTTTTTTTATCATTCACTTTTAGCAAATTTCCCTATAGTAGTCTATTACCGTAGGTGGCACAGTAAGACCTAGGCCCAGGACCGATTTACTTTTTCATTTTGATGTTCCCGGAGGCCAAAAACACCATTCATTCAAATTTATCTATATATATATATATATACATATATAAAAATTTGAACGAATTGTGTTTTCCGTGAACGAGACGCAATAGCTTGAGTAATTTGTGTCCGATTTAGATTAAATTTGGTTTAAAGTTGTAAGGACATAAACTTGAATAAGTTCGGGAATCAGCATGATCGGACCATGGGAACGGGATTATATAGGGTAAAAAATGGTGTTCGAATTTTTGACCCTCAAAACACAAAATTTCCCAATTTCTTTCTAGACCTCTTTAAAGAGCTTAAAAACATAAAATAATTTTGTTTATCAAAATATTTTTAAAGGGTCATTGGTAACGGAGAAATTTAAAAAAAATGTAAATTTAAATTTTCTGTTATTTTTATGGAGAATATTGTAAAATGTTGTAGTTTGCGGGATTATGAATATATTTTTATCAAACTTGGCAAATTTATTCATTTCATACTAAGCTATTTACAGCAATATTTTACAAAAAATATACTTAATTTGTTTCCTTATTGCAGCAATCCTAGGCAGTCATTATAAACCTAATGTCATTAAAATAGCCTTGATAAAAAATCAATTCAGACAAATAGAAATTGCTTAGTGGCAGGTTTGCTGCGGTGGGGGTTTTTATGTCAAACTGTTTAAACAATTTGGGGGATTTACTGAAAAAATTATTATTACTTTATTCAATAATTCTGCTAATTATTAGAAGTAATAACTAACAGTACCTTAACACAACTTCTTAACACTGACAATATTTAAGTTTATATTATTTGAGTCGACATTAAAGATTGAAATATATAGGGAACTGTACATTCAGTGCAATTTAAATTTAAAGATAAAAATAAAACGGAAGGTTTAAAATTCTGCACTGCATTAAATAGTCTGTATTAATAAAAGTTAATTAAAAAAAATATTTGATAAATTAAAGTCAGAGGTCCAACAAGAAAATCGCATTACAATTTAAACAATTTATTAAAACACATTTAAAATATACAATCTTCAACAGTCTACACAAACTCATCGTTTCTCTCTTCTAGTATCGAAGAATTAAATGATCCTTTAGCCTCGCTGTCGGGTCCCTCAGTATCAGGTTCCAATGTTGTGTCGCTACCATCAGGTAATGGTCTGAAATAAAAATAGAGAAGATTTTAAGTTAAACTAACATACAACAACCCATGAATCAACCACTTAGTAAAGATAAGTTATAAAAACAATCAAATGGAGGCTTCTCCCTAAGAGGGAAGGAGAAAAGAGCACCTTCGACTAAATGTAAGGTTCAAAGAGTGAGCAGGGCCCAAAATTTTACACTCACAATATTCACTAATTTCCATGGCACTTGACACATATTTATATTTTTTAGAGCTTTTTTGATCCTGAGATGCCACAATTATTCCACTTAAACCAATGGCCTACTTCGACGAGTTGTTCTTGTCCAGCTGCCTGGATGCTACGGAGCACTTTGACGAGGTACTCTCGTCACGCGACAGTGCTAGTAATTTCGGCTTTTTCCAATAGGTAGCAGCACAAATTGGGTGACTTAATGGTAATAAAAATCAAGCTATTATTCCTATCTCCTGGTTAAACCCATAGATCACCAGGTAGAAACCCTTGCCGTCAGACCGCCACCGCCCACCACTGCTCGAGCGAACATCATTACCGCAACAATACGTAGTACAGCCATCGGTCTCAGTGGTGTAGTGGATAGCGCACCGGGCTGATAATTTGGAGGTAGCCGGTTCAAAACCTACCGGAGGCATTAACTTTTTGACTCGATTTTTTTCATTATCAGCAAGTTTGGTTGGTTTGGTTAGGTTATGATAGTTTAATTTTATAATTAAAAAATTATTAATTTATTTTGAGACATTTATAATTTTATTTTATGAACAGAATTATTTTTGTTATTAGTAAACCTTCATTCGATATTTTCATTATCAGCAGGTTTGGTTAGGTTATGACAGTTCAATTAAATTAAATTTAACCTAGAAACGATACATTTTGACAGCGACAGTGATAGAGATAACAATTTCCCACAAACAGTTCGGCTATGCACGGTATGATGCGTTAACCCTCACCCGGAGGGTTTACTGAAACCTAGTTTAAACAGAGAAATTATTTTAGGGAAAGTGAATCTGAGGTTGAACTAAAGTTTAAACCACGATCAGAGTTTAACTTGATTTGGGGAAAGCGGCCCTTAGCCAAATAAAGTGATCTACTAAACCATTATAGCTAGCCTTTAGTATTTTGACTAAAAGAATAAAGAACAAAAAATATAATTTCCCCTAAAAAGAAATCGAGAAAAACACTCAAACCTCACTTATATGAAAACATTGACTACAAATATTGGGTTTTATTTTTATATAAATTAATTTTGTTATGAAATACACTCAAAAGAGCTTCAAAATGTACAATAGGATGAAAAGATTAGGCCTACATACGTGGGATTTAAAGTCAATGCCAGAATAATCAATTATGCAATTACACTGTAATACTAGGTGTACGCTCATTTTTCCCGTATTGGGACGAAACGAAGACTGTGAATAAGGCTGCGCTGGTAAAGCCGACCAGAATACACAGTAGTAACCTAGTTGTTGTCACACATAGAAATTACATGTATAGGCCTACTGGATCTAGCAGTCATGGATCAGCATGGATGCTCAAACAGTGTCTTGCAGAGCAGATCATTTCAAGAATGCCAGAGGTCTTGGTGCAGATGTGGTGAATATCTGGCTCAGACTCATATGACGAGTCAATAAGAATCTAGGAAATATTCAATATCCAGAGAATTGAATTAATGCTAACAATTTTCAACTTATTCTTGGTAGGATTTACCATTATCTTTGGTCAAGTCTTAGCTGAGAGCCTTGAGCAAGACTCAAAGTCATGGAGGGAAGCAACTTTCCACAAACAGTTTTATATCGCCAGCAAACTAAAGAAAAGGGATCTTGACAACTCTCTTGGTGTCGTTAAAGAATGTACCGGTAGAGCTGAAAATACAGTATCTGAATTTTGTTGGATGTTTTCATGATATGCAACAAATCCATATTCACCCCACAAAACCACATGAAAACCAGTTTCAAGACAGTTAGTAAAACTCAATCTATAGAGGAAGTGTTGTGTTTTATCGTATTAAACCAAATTACAATAATAAAGTTATCAAGATCCCATGACAACTCCTCCTTATCCTTAGTCAAATAAGGACTCAAAACTATGGTACATTCACTTAGGAATATGTATTGGAAATTTTCCCTCTAACCCATTATCAAACAATAAATGTGGTCAACTATGGTTGCTTGTTTTTTTAGCTACGCTATTTTAAAAAGTTTCTGTTAGCATGTGTAATTAGGTTTTTTGAATAAAAAAATCCAAAAACACTCATATTTGCACCACAGCCTTCTATGAAAGGGAATAAAAGATACCATTTGCTACTTTGTTTGTTTTTAAGCAATTTTTACCTCATGCAATGGAATTTTGAGGTTTTCAGGGTATAAAATGGTAAAAAATCATATTTTACGCCTTACAACACTCTGTAAAAGTCTGTTTTCTTAGTCCGACCAGAATGATTTGTTACACTCATCATATTATGTATATGTGTTCAATCTCTTAAATTTAATCATATCAAAAGTGGTTGCTTTAAATATCATGGGATATTATTTTTACAGATACCTCAGTAATCCTTTATCAAGCAAAAACATATGTGATATACTACAGTATAAACCTGGTTAAAACCGAATTAAAGGGCGAGAGCTTTTTTGGATAACCAATTTTTTTGTTATCATATGCTTAAAATAACCAATGTGTTCCCACAGTGTGTAGAAAACATGAATTTAAGACAATGACTTTATAACCATTGAATAACCCAGTGTTTTATTTAAGCTAAAACAATGCTACAATGGGTTAGAAAACACTTTAAGCTAAATAATTAAAGTTACTAAAGCATTTTACAACCCTGGATTATTTTATGGAACCATTTCGGTTAACCCGGGTTTCGATTAACCCGAATTCGGTTAACAGGGGTTCTTCTGTACTTTGTTGGTATTTTAAGGTCTTTTTAAACAGATCCACTAAACCCATGTCATTTTTAGGTTTTCAAAGCATAAAATGGCAAAAACTTATATTTACCCAATGCAACCCCATGTGAAAAGCCCATTATCATAGTAAGATTAAGATGATTTGAGAAACTCATCATATTGTATAATGTGTTTACTCAGTTAAAACTAATTATATCAAAAGTGGAGTCTCATGTGGTGCTTTAAATTTGGTTCTGTCCCGGGTTCTTTGAATCCCGTCAAATCATTAAGGATTTTTTTATTTTATCCAAGTGATAATGCCGCAACCCCTAAGTATAGCCAGAAAGAATGTGAAAATCAATCCTGGGCTCGTACCTAGCACCCTAGGAAAATAAGTTCTTGTCTGGAAATGTTTTAAACCTTACTTCCAGCGAATATAGTATTGCTGGACTCTACGGTTTCCCAACGCAGAATGATGAAATAGACTCAATGGTATTACGGGGTGCGACCATAGGAAACTTATGTCATCGGCTGCACACAAGTGAAAAACCCTCTTTCTTGCACTATGTGTCAATGTGTCCACTTTATATTGTGTATTATCACTGTTAAAACTTAACTTAATTGAGTGTCTCCCGTATTACTCCAAATCTGATCAATGCTGGAGGATTGACTTCAACTACATTAGAACTATTGGGGAAAAGAGGCCTATATTAGTAATTTTATCTGTAAACTTTCATAAAGAAAAATTTTTTTTTCTTTTTACGATCCTTAAATAAGATTTGATAAATATAAAGGAATTTGTACATTTAAAAAATAAAATAACCCCACACAGCAAATCTGAAGACCAAGCAAATTTCCTTTTGAAACCTTTGATTAGTTTTAACTTTTAAGGTGTACACACACCGGAGCCGTAGCGGTGCGATAGTCGCACAGTGATTTAGTACAATGGAAGTAAATGCAAGCGGCCACAATGGAGCGGTAGCAGTATACCGCCTGTACCACCACTCCGCTGAGATGCAACATGTTCTATTTCACCGCCCAGCGGTGCCGGTGCGACAAGCCAAGCATTTGTGTTTCTTGTCTTTTATAAGTATGGCCCCATTTATGCACCAAGAGCGAGAGCGGGGCGATAGCGGGCCCGCTCCCGCTGTGAAAATTTTGTAAAAATTGTGCAAGCGATAGCGGTAGCGGTTGGTCAATGTAGAATGGAAGGGGGACACAGTCTTGCCAACTCAAACTCTGCTAAATAATTAACTAAACTATTTGTCTTAAGTGACCGTGCGCGTGGGTCAAGTTGGCAACCCTGGCTGCAACCGCTCCCGCCCTGCATAAACAGTCTCATTTGACTCAATGTAGTTGAAAACCGCTCTATCCTAAGCAACCGTTGCGATTTCTAACTACACAGCGGTCGAATTAGAAACCGCAGTGAGAGGTCAACCGCTACTGCTATCGCTCTTCGTGCATAAACAGCCCCATTTAACTCAATGGTGTTGAAAATCGCTACCGCTCCCGCTCTTGGAGCATAAACAGGGCCTATCGTATTTGCCATGCTCAAATCGCCTTTTGTTCATGTCATACATCCACTCCAAATTTTTGTGATCGTTGTCTTCAGCTACAGCAAACAATTGCAACATTTCTTCCTTGTAATCTGATGTAAACAATGTAAACATATTTCTAACTAACAACACACTGAACTTGTTGACTGCACACTCATAAACGAGGACGGAAAATTACTGTAATCCGCTGTCAACGCTGAGGTGCGGAATCGCTCCGGTATGAATGCCCCAGCTATACTGCTGGGTGATGATAGTAGATGGGGGGGGGGGGGGTTAAAAATTGTGCCTATACCACCATCATTCCGGTGTGTGCAGGCCTTAATTTATTTAAGTAGATTAGGTTCAATGAGTACTTAGGTATGCTGCTGCAGGGAGTAAAGTGTAGTATAATGTGTTTTTAATAAAACATCAATATCGTGGTATAAAATAAATAACGTTTCCATATAGGTAATATATCCACAAACAATCAAACCACAGCGGTTTCCTTCTTCTCCATAAGAATATCATGGGAATTTTAAATTTAAAATTTTTAGAATAGCCAATAACTGTAGGTCTACACAAA